CTCCAAAGTCGTGTTGGTCGTTCAAGAGAAATGAACGGGAAAAAAGTCGCGGAGTAGTACTCCAAAAGAGTCGGTCGTTCAAGAAAGTGATCGAAAGTCGGGAGCAGAAGCTCCAAGTTTCGGATAAAAATCCGATAGAGGAAGACTCGGTACATTCGGGACGAATGTAATACCAGAATGGCCGAACTGTAAGAATTAGACGACCGTAAGCGGTCATGAAAGAGATTCGGAATATAAACAGTTAACAGAGAGGAGCCGTCGTGGTCGTGCAGACTAAGTGTCGGATTGGTAGACGAGGGATCCCGAGTTCTCAAATCCAGTCGGTCTCCGTTAATTTTTTCCGAATCTAATAGATATCTTTCACTATATTATGTTTAATGAGAATTATTTTTCTTATGAAAATTGTTTATAAATTGTTGTAAATATGTTGTATATATTTTGTTTACTTTTTTATGAATTTGTTAATAATTGTATTAAATATAGCAAATATTTTTTTTATTTATATATTATAGTTAATTAAAAAAGATAATAATTAATAATGTTATTTCATTATTTATTCATTAAAAATAACTTTAAATGACGATATATTTATGACGATAATATTTCACGACAAAGGTTACGTTTATTTTATGTCATTATTTAATACACTGATGTCGAATGACGAAAAATAACTTCGAATCATCGTCATAACATTCAGTTATACAGAATATTTATAAATACAGAATATTCGTATGATATCATATACTGTTAAAGTATATTCGGTATATTCTGAAGATGAGCTTAAGAATACGAGAAATGATATATCAAGATGTCATATGAATGTTTTCTGTATTAGGCCATAGTACGTATGACCACAGTCTTTTAGTACGAATGTAGAATATTCGAATGATAAGTGCTATTAGGGTACTCGTCAACTATTGCAAAAATTACAAAATAATACAGGACTTTTCGACTCAGTTTAGTCTGTTCTACCTGCATATGAGCGCTTGGCCATTTTTTTGGAACATCCTGTATATATATATATCTTGTGTGTGTGTGTGTGTGTGTGTGTGTGTGTGTGTGTGTGTGTGTGTGTGTGTGTGTGTGTAGTAGTACG